GCCTCTGAAAGACAGAAGCTTTTGGACGCATTGGGACAATTGGACGATCGGCCACTCTCTGTGCAGATGCTACTGGAACACCGTCATCGCCTTTCGTCGGCTCAAAAAGCAGTCAAAGCTGTCTTGTGCTTTTTGAGGACTATAGGCATACGTGACCACCTTTAACTTTTGTGTAGTGTCACCGCTGCATACGCGCCAGCCGATTGACTGACAATCCTTCTTTTTTTGTTTTTTCTCTCTTTCTCTTCTCTTTCCTCTCTCTCTCATCTTTATGCCCCCTTCCTATTCCCCCAGCGTAGGTACCAAACCGGGCTTGTGCCTGGTTAACCTCCCTGCCTTCCCTCTTGTTGTTTATACCCCCCCCCCCCCCCCCCCCACTATCCAGTGGGCATTCCAAGTACTGAGAGGTTGCTACCTGCTATTACTACTACTACTACTACCGCTACTACTACTACTACTACTACTACTACTACTACTACTACTACTACTACTACTACTACTACTACTACTACATACATACATCACGGATACACAACCCAAGACTTAAGAAGCTTCGCCCCTGAAAGGCACCTAATTTCAGTCTGCCTATAAGGCGACACGGCGCAGTGTCGTGTAGGAGATGTGAAAAGGGGGGTCAGAGAAAGCACTCGCCTCACAGGAGCAACAGAAATAGAGAACATATAAGAAAGATGAGGCACACGGTCAAGACGGTTGAAGGAGTTCGAGAACGGGGCACCACTCGGTGAAAGCCATTTGCAACTTTCATAGATGGTGGCATGGCCACGCAGCAGCTGTCATAACTGTTGTTTGGGGGATGCCCACACTGCCAGCCCTTGCCAGCATTCAGTTGGCCTCACTTTGCCAGTTTGCTTGTGCTTTATATTTAGTCGCTGGCAATTTTCACTACGGTTATTTTGAATTTAGTACTGAAATACTGAAGTTGGACAGATACTGCGAGTTGCGAGTCGTAGTAGCGATGATTTACTCTTTATTGTTTTCTCACTGTGAGCTAGAGGTACATAAATCACGAAATGTGCTGGGTGTTGCTGTGCACACTCCGTGCTGTCAATGGCGAGGTTCCTTCTTTGCACAAGCGATAATCCTGCAAGGGAGGGAGAGAGAAAAGAAATATTTGCAGTTGCTGCAATTCATTAGAAGCATAAGCACGCGCTTATGGTTCTTCTTTCAAGAGGGGGGGGAGGTTCGTCGAAGTGCCTCACCCCTTTATTATATCAGTGTGTGTGAGAGACATTCCTAGGTCCCACTCGTGCGCATGCATGTGAGTAGAAGTGTCGAGAAGCTCCTTCAATCGAAGTGTCGACAAACTCCTTCAAAAGAGTTTCTCCTTTAATAATACACCAGGCAAGGGTTTCTCAACACCCAGTGTGAGATACAATACACACTAGAGTCAATCACCTTCTAAGCGAAACCTTCTCAACATGGTGGCTGCAGCTGAAAATACCACACAGTTCGATGTGACGAGCACACTATGCAGCAACAGCAACATGATCCCCATTGCAAACGACAACAATGTTGGGCTTACACTAGCGCCCTCTCTAGGTGGTAAAAGTTGCGAACACGGTGTCAGGAGAACATGTTTGGCGGACTGGTTGACGAGAGCTACACTGGCATAGGAGATTGCGGGCAACACAATCGTCGAGCTCGAAATTCAGCAGGCGAGTATCCTTCACAATATGAATGCAGATGTCATATATGTTGTTCTCAGGCTTAGTTCTATCTCTGAATAGCATGTTTCAACATCTCCGGTAGGTACTAGAGGAGGTGAACATAGGAGCGGCCGATTGAGAGAACGGTAGGGCACCGGCACCCAGAACGACAGAGAAGTAAAGGAAAAATGGGTTCAACTGCATTCGATGATCACAAGACCAATCTTCAACGAAGTAGTGGTGGAGGTGGGAAGGGACAAAGCAGCCGGCATCACAGATGCTAGTAACCTCCAGGCGCGAGACACTCTAGCAAAAAAGTCACAGCACGTGATAATCACCGGAGATTCAAATTTAGATCGTTGCGCAAAAGCAATCAAAGAGAGAGTAAGAGGAGACATAGGCATACCAGCTAGGGGGGCAAGGGGGGTGCGAGCCCCCACTGAAAGAAGTTGGGGGGGCTGAGCCCCTCACTTTTGGCAGTAGTCACTCTTGCCTACACGCTAGGGAAACCAACAAGTAAGACAAAGTTTTCGTCACAACAGTAATAACTCAATCATGTTCTTACGGGAGAATAAAAATGCTACAAGGCAATGTTACAAATAGTGAAATTTTGCCAACGTTTCCGCTGTGATCATTTTTCTTCGTAGGTTCTTTGCGGTGCGGGTCACCAATGCGACATTTTCACGTCGTGTGCTGTAGTATTTCAGAGTAGACAAGCTCTAAACAGGGGATCTACTATATTACATCACTTGTTCATGTTTTTATTCTGCTGTGTCTTGTTAATGCAGTTACAGTTTGGAACAAGCAAACTTTTTATGGACTGGTCAATTCATTTGCAGCTTCCGGAAAATAATTTTCTTCGAAAAGGGTATATCACTGCTGCTCTGTCGAAGCTGTTGTGAGCCGATGAGTGTCACGAATCGTTTTTGATGTTTAGGGTTTCCACACTGAATCGCCAGAACTGTTTTTTAGTCTCTGATAAACCTGATCCGCCTTGCTTATGGTAACTTGGAAGTTGGAGCTATAGCGGCAGTAAAATGTGCCTGTACAGAGGTAATGGAATATTTCCTGTACATTGATAAATGAGGATTTGCCGAATGTATGTTTTGGTGTTTGGCTGCTATAGCCCATTCAATGTGAATGTATGTATCCTCGTTGATTCTTGGAACATCTCCATCCCGACGACTAACAACCATGCTAAATTTATTAAACAAACTGTTGTGGTATCTGTAGATGTTCATCACCAAATTGTAATCACTCAAAAAAGAGAGAGGCATGATAGCAAGGTGAGCGTGGCACATAGGACGCGAAAATTGGGCTAAGGGGCCATCCTCGGCCTTTTAAAGTGTGATTGAACTTCGTGGTATCTAAGAAAGCACGTTGTGGCACCTCTGTGTTTGCGAATTCATATCAAAGTGTGAGCACGTCAACGAAGTTCTGTGCTATATATATATATATATGTGTTATGGTGTAATGTGGGCCCAGGATCCGGAATAAATCAACCGGCAGTCAGGTGACTCTGTACACACAACACAGACTTTAACACAGCCGATAACTCTTACAATTCACACACAACACACTATAGCGTTCCTTATTTACATGCCAACTGTCCTACGCGCCTCGGCACACGAACTGTCCTACTCGCCGTTATGACTGCTGTCGCTGCGGCGAGGTCGGTCGTCACCGGTGTTCCTTGTGCAGTCACGCTGCCTTGACCGTGGTGAGGTGGTGGTGGTGGTGATGGTGGTGCTGCAGGCCGGTAGATCACCAGGCCACTGCAGTGCAGGTTAATGGCCCGTCGCCAACATGAGCCGTGGCCACCTCGTGCCACCACTCGGGCCCCAGGACCTCAGGCCACGAACAGACTATGCTGCCGGTCCCCGTGTCAGCGCCGTCCACAGAGCGGGAAGCCAGCTCACCAGGTCCGCAAGGCTGCCGGACACCTGGTTGAGTGACGCAGCCCGAAGCAGGAAGCCAGCTCACCAGGTTCGCAAGGCTGCCGGATGCCTGGTTAGGCGATGTCGCGACCCGAACCGCTGACCAGCAGCTGCCGTTCGAACCGTGTCACGCTCCAACTGCCCGAGCCGCACACCCCGCTTGCGCTTCCTTTTTCTCGTCTTCGCCTCCAAGGCGTACCGCAAAGCAGAACCGCCGTTCCCTCTTCGCCCCGTCACGAGCCACACAATCCACATCATCACAATATATATATATATATATATATATATATATATATATATATATATATATATATATACATATATATATAGTGTTGGCATTCATAATGCACTTCTTTTCATATATGCATTATCATAATCATTATCATCCGTCTGGGTCCCTGTCCTCATCTTCACTGGCTGTCACCACAATCATCATCGGGTGTGTGCGCGCTCGGTTTCAGACACCCTGTTCATTGCTGAGCCTTTGGGCTGAATAAACGCTGTCTCAACCCAGACGTCATACGTGGTGGAGGTGGATTTTCTGTCCTCGGTCTTCTCCCACTTCGCTCGACTCGCTGGAGCTGCGTCCAGGCCGCCGATTGCCCCCACTGTCTGGCAGCATGTCACAGAACGAGCCTGCCAGCACTGCTGCCATCGCTGCTGCCATCTCTCCCCCACCGTCTTCAGCCGCGCCTCCTGTTTACGTACACAGCCACCAGCGTGATCTCCCTCTCTTCGCCGCTCTTCGCGGGGAAGACGTCGAGAACTGGCTTGATGAGTACAGCCGCGCGAGTGTTGCTAATCACTCGGACGATAGCACCAAGCTCCGTTACGTCTCTTTCTAATTGGCAAAGACAACCCATGTGGCAAAGACAACCCATGTGAAAATTTCCTGCTGGTTGGCTATTGATTCCAGCAGTGCTGGTTTATTAGCACATTCTCAATAGGTAATGGAACCAGCAGGTGATGAAACCAGTAGGTGATGGAACCAGTAGCTGGTGGTTCCAGCAGGTGTTGAAACCAGCAGGCGATAGAACCATCAGCTGCTGGTTCCAGCGCAGTGTTGCAGGCAGTCGGCCAACTTGTAATTCGCCGACATGGAGCACACCTCCAAGCAACAAAGCAGGCAATAAGCCTGATTCGAGCTGCATATTGTCAGCTGCAAGCTTTATTGCAGCTCGAACCAGCTGAAATACGGCCTGTTTCTAACTGGAAGTTAGTCCCTTCACAGCTGAACAATCGTCACATTTCAATTTCTTAATACTTAGTAATATGAGTTAGTAATACGAGTTAAAGTGGTACCAATCAGCAGATTAAGTTTGTTCCCATCAATAGCATGTAGTTCTAAAGGGGCTGCTTTTCAAAAGTCCGTTAAATACACCCATAACACACAAGCGTTGATCTATTACATTTTATTAAAAATCTATTTACACTTGAAAAGGGTAATCTGCCAGCTTCGGCTCCGGCTCAAATTGTTCCGAATGAAAATCCACAGGGGACCTTGATCCACACCACAGATGTCTGTATTGTCGAGGGCAGCCAAGTGATGCAAGCAATCTATAACAAAATAAAATATTTTGTTGTCAATGCATATCGTGACTGCAGATTATCAATCTTTAAAAATGTTACTTAACGTCCGTTCGCGGGAGACAGTGCGCACGACGACGTACATATCAAGCGAACAACTTCTACATCTATACAGCCCCGTTATTTCACTCAGCAACTAGAATTAAGCATTGTGGTAATACTTCATTACACGGAGACAAAGGATCATGGCTTACTTACAGCAACCGGCATGCATATGCAAATTCATTAACATCACAAACATCAATGTACGACGACAGTGAGCCTAATAAAGCACAGAAGCATTTGGGATATGCAAGGTTTACTTATATTTGAAATAAATATGCAACTTACCTGCATGAAAGATCGATTGCTGAGATACAAGGTGGGCCTCGATCTGCACTCACGAAATCAAGACCCCGCATAGCATAGCACCAAAAAACAGCTAAAATAGGCTGATATTCACTTGTTACACTTTCCACAGGTGTAACTGACTCAAAAGTAAACTATTACATGCTCATGTCACACAGATTCCAGAGGAAACTTGCAACTAACACATCGAAAATACAAATCCAAAGACAGACAAGTCACGACAAGAGTACAACATGTGTTGTACTAAACTATGGCGCTAAGACGTCATAATAATTTATACGTTACATAAAACTGCTATTTCTTATGATTTTACCTGTAATTAAATAATAAAAATTTTTATTATGCAGTATTTTTATTAATAAGTAGCTAACTATTTAGTATTAATTTGAAAAAAAAAAGCCAATAATATATACGAGACTAGTGCTACTGAGGAGTAGCTGGTACCAGTACAGCCAGCTGGAAGTTTGCTGGGACCACAAGCAGGTCAGTAGGCAATGTACTGGTCCCAGTAAAGAACCAGTAGACACCCTGCTGGAACCAGCAGAAAACCAATGGGCACACTGCTGGAACCAGTAAAACCAGCAGGTAGCTTGCTGGGACCATCAGCAAGCTAGTAGGCAGCGCGCTGGTCCCAATAAAGAACCAGTAGGCACCCTGCTGGAACCAGCAGAAAACCAGTAGGCACACTGCTGGAACCAGTACAGCCAGCAAAAAACCAGCAGTCTAACTGCCGGTTCCATCAAAAACCAGCAACTCCCGGCAGAGAACCAGCAGAAAATTTTCATCTGGGATGGTATTTCAACCACGTCATTGACTTACCCGACTGGACGACCATCCAGCACCAGCTGCGACATCTTTTTGGGACACTGGCCATTCGTTCCGCCGTCGTGAAGAGGACCCTCGATACTCGCTGACTACATCCTGGCAAATCATGCACTTCCTACATTGAGGATGTCCTTTCACTGTGCTGGCGTGTCAATTCATCTATGCCAGAATTGGACAAAGTATGCCACATCTTGAAAGGCATTGGACCTGTTGCTTGTAATGCCCTCGCTGCGCAAAATCCAGCTACTATCGCTGACGTCATCGCGACATACCAGCGCCTTGATTCACTGGACACCGTTTGTCTCCAACCGGACATTGGCGACCACCACTCCATGTCCCATGGCCATCTGCGTGACCTCATCTAGGACATTGTACGAGAAGAATTGCGGTCTGTGGGCTTCACACTTCCTTCACCGCGTTCAACACAGTCTTCGGGAGTTCCTTTGCGTGACCTCATTAGAGATATATTTACATCCCTGACCGGCCCTGATCTCATACGACCACCTGTTCCTCGCCCCATATCAACCTACGCTCAAGTCGCTGCCGCGCCTCCGAGCAACGTACACGTGCCATTGCCGCAACCATCCTACGGGTCGGTTGCTGCCGCTCCCCCGGTCAACTACTGTTCGATGCCACCTGACCCTTCTTGGGCCCACCTGAGCGCGCTATCTCCAGGTGCCCCTAACGCCTTCTACTCCCCACCCTGGCACTTGTCCTGCCCTGTCTGCTATTATTGCAGCTATCGCGGCCACATATCTCGTTTCTGCCAAAAGCACCAGCAAGATGAGCGTCGGGGTTACGACGTGCGTGAACGGGATTGGTCTACCGGGGCCTCTTATCAAGGTCAGTGTTATTCGTCTCCTCCGCACCGATCTCCATCTCCACCGGCATCGAATGCACTGCGGAATGGCCGAAACACGAGACGCCGCTCGCCTTCGCACTTCCGCCGTTCCTCTTGTCCACTTCGGCCCACCTCATTCTCCTCTAGTAGTCATGCGGAAAACTAAATGATGCAGTTTGTGGAGGAGAAACTGCATGTGAAATTGGAACTGAAATTCCTCCATCAGGCCCGTGTAACATGGTTCCTGTGGAAGTGGAAGGAGTGTGTGTCAATGATCTGGTGGACATGGGTGCAGCATTTTCTGTTATGCGTGTTGATTTAGGCCAACGTACGAAGAAAGTAATGACCGATTACGATGGACCCACGTTGATTGCTGCCCAGGGGACATACCATTCGCCCTTCCGCTTTCTGTTCAGCCTGCGTTTTTATTGATGGTACCTGCCATCACATTCAGTTCGCCGTCCTGGCTGACTGTTCTCACCGATTAATTTTAGCATGGGACTTTCTTTCATCTGCCTCTGCAGCGATTCGCTGTGGCTGACACGTCATCCACCTTACCGACGCGGACTGCACGCTCAACGACGACACCCAGAGGCCACTTCGTTGGACAGCTGCGGAGAATACCGAATTACCGCCAGGTCAAGAGCAAATTGTAACTATTACCTCCAAAGACATCGACAATGGCGACGTCTTGGTCTCACCATCATTGAGTTGCGTCGGCAAAGGCACCGTTCTCGCTTCCAGTGTAGTTAGTTTTCTAAACGGTTCCGCACTTGTCACTGCCGTGAATACAAAATCTGAAAACATTCTACTTCCTCAGAACACCATGGTGGCCTGTGTGACCTATTCCAAGCCTGCGTGCGTCGTGCCACTTCATACCGTCTTCTCTAACGACCACCCTAGTGAAAAGCGAGCCTGCATCTTCTTCCACATTTGCTGCAGCCATTAGCGACGACTTGACGCCTTCACAAACGCAACAACTGCTTGCTTTGTTAAAGAAGCACGCAAGTTCTCTTGATGTTTACTCCTCGACATTGTGCCGCACTACTACTACAGCGCATGGAATCCACACAGTCGGAACATCTGTTGTACGCCGCCGGCCCTACCGCATGTCTCCTGCTGAGAGAAAAATTATACAAGGAAACGTAGCTGACATGCTCAAACGAGAGGTCATTCGCCCCTCATCTAGCCCTTGGTCGTCGGCTGTGGTTCTGGTTCGTAAGAAGGATGGCTCAGTGCACTTTTGCGTCCATTACAGGGCGCTCAACAAGATAACTCGCAAGGGTATGTACCCAATGCCTTGCATTGACGACGCCCTTGATTTTCTACAAGGCGCGAAATACTTTTCCAGCCTCGGCCTGCGCTCCAGATATGGGCAAATTTCTATGCACAAAGAGGATAAAGAGAAAACGGCATTTGCACCCCCCTACGGGCTATACGAATTCAACGTTATGCCTTTCAGGCTGTGCAACGCGCCCGCTACTTTTGAGTGCATGATTGATACAGTGCTGCGTGGCCTCAAATGGAAGACGTGTCTCTGCTACTTGGACGACACTAATATTTTTTCGACGTTTCCTCAACGCCTGCAACGTTTGCATGACAATCTGACGTGCCTTACCGCCACTGGTCTCCAACTCAACACCAAAAAATGCCATTTCACCACAAAAGCTATCAAGAGAATCAAAAGATGGGCTAGTTGGATATGCATGGATAAAAGGAAAGCGCTTGTCCTCTCTTCCTTTCTGTTTATTCGTGCGTTGAACTGACAATTATACCAATTAAGCTATCAAGGTTTTGGGCCACGTCGTGACCAAAGACAGAATTCGGCCGGATCCGGACAGAATTGCTGCGGTACCTCGCTCTCCGTGTGCCGTAAGGCCGAAGGAGTTGCGGAGTTTTCTTGGTCTTGCCTCCTATTTTCGCCGTTTTATACGGAACTTCGCACCAATAGCGGCTCCACTGCACCAGCTTCTTGCTTCCGACGTGCCCTTTCTGTAGTCGGAAGAATGTCAAACGGCATTCGACCTGTTAAAATGTGCCCTCACGTCTGAACCTGTACTCCGCCACTTCGATGAGTCCGCACCGACCATCCTACATACGGACGCTAGCGGCCGCGGTATAGGTGCCGTTCTGCTCCATTGCAACACCTCTTCACAAGAGAGAGTAGTTGCATATGCCAGTAGAGTGCCAACCGCGACCGAGAAGAACTATACCCTAATTGAGCAGGAGTGCTTGGCGGTGGCCTGGTCAGTGCAAAAGTTCCGTCCCTATTTCCACGGCCGTCATTTCACAATCGTTACGACCACCACGCCTTATGCTGGCTTTCTAAGCTGAAGAACTTGTCTGGACGCTTGGGTCGGTGGATTCTACGTTTAGAGGAGTATGACTTCGATGTCATTTACAAGTCAGGTAGAAAACACCAAGACACCTGCGCCTTTTCGCGCGGCCCAGTACCAAATACCCAGCTCAGCATCGGTCAAAGTTCGGCCATCACTTCTACTGAAGCGCCCGCCTCAATAGACCAGCTATTCTCAGACGACAAGCACACATTTCACTCCTGCCAGTTGTCTGGTTCGTACTGTAGGCGTATTATGAACCAGCTCTCAGGAGCTTTCCGTCCACCTAAAGCACCGCATCGTCGTCAACTCTTGCAATTTAAGCTGGAGAATGGAGTTCTATACCGTCACATCTACCACCCTTATGGTCAACGCTGCGTTCCTATGCTACTACGCTATCTTCGACTTGACGTGCTTAAAGCCTTCCACGACGACTTGACTGCCGGACATCTTGGTATTACAAAAACTCACGACCGCATTACCAGTCGCTTCTACTGGCCTGGTTTTTCTACTAGCATCGCGCGCTACGTCGGTTCCTGTGTCCCGTGCCAGCGTCGTAAAATCTAGACAACTGCACCGGCCGGGCCTCTGCAGCCAATTACGTGCCCCACAATGCCATTTGGGGTTGTAGGTATCGACCTTTACGGCCCTCTTCCCGTCACATCTACGGGCAAACGATGGATAGTGACCGCCGTAGACCACTTGACACGCTACGCGGAGACAACGTATCAACCATCAACTGCCTCTGCTTCGGAAGTTGCCAACTTCGTTTTGCACGCCATCATTCTGCGCCATGGTGCCCCTGTTACGGTATATTGCTGAGTGACCGTGAAAAGGTGTTCCTGTCAGAAGTGCTAAATGAAGTTTTGCGCGCCTCTGGAATAAAGCGCAAGACAGATGTGGGATTTTTTTCTGCGATTCGGCGTGCGGTGCGATGATGCGACTGCCGGAGTGGTGACGTTTCGTGACGCATCATCGCGTCGCACCACCGCATAGCCGGTGCGGCGAGCATCAAACCGGCCAGATATTTTCGTCACAGCATCGCACCGCCGCATGACAGCAGCCAATCACAACGCGAGCAGACGAGTAACGTCATGCCGCTAGTGGCGCCATCTCCCTGCAGCCACTCGCATCACCCGTGATCCAGGCCAGTTCAAGTATTTCTATGGAGTCGTGCGAGTGTTGCTTTGCTGGCATCGCCGACTGTGACGGCGTGACAAACATGTTGAACATTTTTCTGGTGACGTGATATCATAACGGA